TAGTATACTCGACCTCATATTCCCTTTTGGGGTCAGAAGTGCACAAACAGTATAAGACAAACTCTCTGGTTGCGACCACAAGATGGCATGAGTTACCTTCTGCGTTAAATTGGCCACCAAACACGCCTTTATTCCGCAATATGCAACCTGTAGTATAAACTGGAAGCAATTCCAACAATTTATCCGATAAGCCGATTGCGACGCATTCTTCCTTCTTAACAATGCGTGCAATGCCAGATAGTCAGTCTGGGTCACCATAACTCATCCCCATGTTCAATCACTAGTAGTTTCATCCAAGGGAGTGTACTTGGTTCTTCGCTTTTCCTACTTTATATTAACGATGTCACGGTGTTCCTAAAACATGGCAGGCCATTTCTGTTCGCCGATGACATAAATTTTGACGACACGAACTCAATAGCACAATGCTGTTCCTTCAAGAAGAGCTTGATTCACTTGAGAAATGGTGCAACACATAGATGCTAAATTTCTCAGGTAGTAAATCATGCATTATCTCACACGGCTGTTTAATCCCTGAAGAGTCTGTCAAACTGAAGAATGAACGTATCCGTGTGAAACTATCCAAATGTGATCTAGGCATACGATACTCTTCAAACTAATTTCTCAGAGCAAGCTGAGTATCAAATAGCCCGTGCCAAACGATCTGTGGCTAACATATGCCATAAAATCTATACAACCCCTGTCAGACTCGAGCTTTTCAAAATAGTTACACTTCCTGTCCTTGAATACTGCAGCATCATCTATGGGAACATGCGAATGGGTGACAGAAAAGCTTTAGAAAACCTGAAAAGATCATTCACTAAGCGCTTGTTCAGTAAATCAATCACCTTATCAAGAGCGCTGCCAGTAGCTTAAGCTCGAGGCCCTTTGGTTGCGACGACTGAAACATAACCTGATGCTGATACACAATCTCATAAACCAAAAGACATTCCAATCTGTGTACACATAAAATTCAACATAACTTCACTCAGAATATACGTAACAAGACCTGTACATTATGTGTGCCGAGAACCAGGACAGCTATCCGATCCAACTTCCTCCTCGTCAGATACGCTGTTGTGTGGAATAGCCTACCAGCCACAATCAGGTCTTGCACAAATGCAAGAGCATTCCACATTCAGCTTAGCAAATTCCTTGACCAAAACTCGATAATGACCATGTTTCCATCGGGTAAATCATCACACGAGTACTTTCACGATGGATCAAGGAATAGGTAATCAATGATTCAAGATGGTACAGAATTCAACAACAACAAAAATTACGTGATTCCAAATTATTTTGATATCATACACCCCATATTACATATTTCACTCATGCATGAGCATGATAATTATTGTACCCATGATCTGTCCACAATCCAGGGACAGCTTCTCGTACAATAGGGAAATATACGTATTATTATTATTATTATTATTATTAATACTATTAGTATTATGGACTATTTCTACCATGGGGTCCATCAGACCATTGCAGTTCTTACTAACCAAGACGAGGGGACCACACGTGTTCAAAAAGACACAATCGTGCGTTCAGTCAGCCGGAAACACAGAAGACTAATTGCTGGATAGAGAAAGACGTGAAATTTCACCTTGCTTTTACAGTTGCACAACATCCTTGACAGGGTCAAGCACATACAGTTGACAAAGAGGATACACGAAGAACAAATGGCTCTACGAACGACATGTAAAACGAAGGAACTTGTTAAAATTCTGCGTCGCAGAACTAATAACCACTCCAGCTTGATTGATGGACTGGTTAATGCAGACGGACAGTCCCTTCGTGATCCAGCCGACATCTGCGAAGCGCTTAGCTCATCTTGCGCTATCTCCATGAGCCTGAAGACGACCCTGTTAAATGTATGCATTGGGATGCATACAACCAACGCCCTGTGTAACATGGGATTTTCTATCATAGCTATTCAACATTTAAGGAGTTCTACTAAACCGTCTTCCCGTCTGGATTCCGATGGTATCCCACCTGCCGTCATTAAACTGGGAGGGCCTGAGGTGCCGTTACTATTGGTGAACATGTTTGCCCTTTCGTTGGAGTTAAGCTACTTGCTAGACCAGTGGAAAACATCGCACATCATCCCCCGTCACAAGGGTGGCTCCAAAGAAGAAATTAATAATTACCGGCCAATCCATCACACCCCTGTACTATCCAGAATATTAGAGAAACTGATTAAGAATGGTGTGATGAAATTCATCAATTCGCTGGAGCTAATAGACAGGTCACAGCATGGTTTCCTGGACAAACGATCGTGCATAACCTGCCAATTACATTATCTAAACCATGTTTCGGATTCTATTGACTCAGGATACGCAATCATACTTCTGTTCCTTGACATGGAAAAGACATTCGATCGAGCGCCCCATAAACGGCTGCTGAAAAAGATTGCTTCCTTTGGAATTCAGGACCCACTTCTAGGCTGGCTATTGTCATACCTGAGCGGCCGTTCTCAGGTAGTTACCATAGCCGACCACCACTCTTCACCACGTCCAATCACTAGTGGTGTTATTCAAGGGAGTGTACTTGGTCCGTTACTGTTCTTGCTCTACGTCAATGACATTAGTGCGGTTATCAGTCATGGCATGCCTTTCCTATTTGCAGATGACATAAAGATAGTCTACAAATTCCGACGAGCTGAACTTCAAGATACACTACTGCTCATACAGGAAGACCTCCACTCCCTTGAGAAATGGTGTGACACCTGGATGATGAAGTTCTCGGCGAAAAAATCTAGCATCATGTATCGCGGCTGTTCGATACCCGAGGGACCAATTACACACAACGGCGAACACCTTTGTGTACAGCTGTCTACCCGCGACCTCGGAATCAGGTATTCTTGCACCTTCAACTTTTCTGAACAAGTGAAATACTAGCTGGCTGGGGCCAGAAAATCAATAGCTAATATATTACATAGGGTCCACATAACTCCAGCCAGAGTAGAACTCCTCAAAATCCCCACTCGTCCCATTTTGGAATACCGCAGTATCATTTATGGCAGCATGGGGGAATCTGACAGTGTATCTCTAGAAAGTACACAGAGGTCATTTACCAGACGTCTGTTAGGCAAAACATCCACTAAGAACTATTGGGAGCGCTGCCAACAAGTCCAGCTCGATCCGCTTTGGCTCCGAAGATTGAGACATAACCAGATGCTTCTTCCAAACATGATTCACCAAAACGCCCACCGCTATTTGTCCTCCCTAGAACTACAACATAGTTCGACAAGGGAGCTACGCAATAAGGAGTTTACCCTGAGTGCACCCAGGTGCAGGGTAAATCTGTGATAAAGTTTTACCTTATCAGATATGCTATCCTGTGGGACAAGCTCCCAGTCACAATCAGATCGTGTGAGAACGTAACGGCCTTTCGCGTTAAGCTCACCAATTACTTAGATTTGAACATGATTTTGACCGTCTTCTCTTGGGAAAGATCACTTGATGATTTGCACCAAGAAAGGCCAGACAACATCTAATGAGTAAAAAAGATTTCATACTCAGTGACATACCCCTAGTGCTGTTACCAACCACTGTTCCAACAAGTGCTCATTGCGTTGAAACACACCTATGAGTTAATACAAACCCTTGAAACTGAAAAAGCAATGAAAATCACATAAATATTTACTACTCATGCATGAGCATATCCTGTAAAATATGATCTGTACCAAATATGGCCACAGTTTTGCACCCGATGAGAAATATACCTATTATTAGTATTAGTATTATTATTATTATTGTATGTGTCCAGTACGCATGATTCCCCAATTAGATAGACAGGAGTGTCGCTGCTGTGCGGGCCGTCTCCCTAAGCTATTACCAACTGCCTACTGGAAACAGTATGATCGGGATAGCAGTGTTTCGACAAGTAGGTACCTAGTAAACATTCATATCAAGCGCAGCAACACCGGAGGTGTCAAACAAAAAACAACAAAGTTGAAAGAAAATAAACAGGCTAGCTAAACAGGAAGTGTGTAGCATGGTAATAGAGCAAACAAAAAGGTGTGCTAAGTATGATCTAGTGTAAGGGTGTTCTTAGGCAAATAGCACAAGCGCCCGTGAGTAGTGCATGCACGAAAAACGTCACCATGTTACTTGGTCCAGGACCTAGTCTTTTCTAAGACTACCGGTCTGGTTGATGTGACATAGGTTGTACGTAGCCATATTTTGTTTATCATCCCCAGCGTATGGGGGCTAATGAGACGTTATTCTGAATGATGCCAATAGCTTCTGGCTCAGGAGCAGTTGGATGTCCAAACAAGATGTTCAATGCGCGAATTGCAAGGGAACAGAATACTGGACGAAATGAACGTTGGTGTACCTTGGAGTGTACGTTGTGGGTGGGCAGTTTGAGAACAAACAAGAAACTCGAGAAAGTATCAGAAAGCTTTAAATAGTGTAAAGTTGGATTGGTTCAAGTAGAAGCAGTCATATGGTTGCTTCGTCCATTCCCGACTCGCCCCTTGGGTAATGTCATTTGCAGGACAGCATTACGGTATCAGTAATACATTAGAACCTAACACTGGTGCTTCGGTGAGGTGCACAACCGCCCCGAGCGATCTCACAGGGGCTGGAACAGTCCAAGGCAACCTAAGCCGATGCAACCGCAGGAACTCGGATATGGGGCGTAGTCATTGAAAACTAGACGCCCAAACCGATACACTACAGATCCTCAAGGCAACCAAGATGACTCAGAGGCCTGAAACTTCGCATAAATATCATAGAGGTACGACCTTGCGGCACAATAGCTAAGGTGTTTTAAACCTGAAGCTAACGTGTATAGTGATAATGAGGGGTAAGACCTCTAGCGTCTCAATGAGTTGCGGCAGTGCGCCCAAGTGACGAAACCCAAAGAATGAAACGGCCGTCCAACACTGACGAGTGCAGATGAGTTCAGTTGTGATGAATACTGTTTAAAAGTTGCCAATAAGGAGCTAGGAAAGCGTAGAACAAAATACATGAAGAGATTTGAAAACCGACCTTTTCCTTCTGCTTCAGAGAGGAGTACTGATTGAGAGCAACGTAGACTTCGCTGACGCACTCTTTGAGCTGCACCAACTTCGATTCTAAGTGTTGCAACTCTGTGGTCTGTTCAAGTATACTGGTGAGTTTCTCAAATAAACTGCAGATATCTGCCTCGATTTCTTCCAAACAGTCCTTCAAATGGCCGATTGAGTCGGGCAAATTCTCTACGTCTTGCAGTATTTCAGCATTGGCTGCGAGCAAGTCGTCTACAACTTGCTTGTTTTCCAATTTCAAAGCTGAGATCTGCGAATGGAGAGAAAGAAACAATAAGGTAATCATGTCAATGAGCAGCGATTTATCAAGTGCGATGCTAGCCAAGCGCTGTTCGTCGGGAATCAGTGGCTAAAAGGGCAAAAGTTCCAACTTATATCGCGATGGTCATGGGTTCAACGCCTGCTATGTTTACCTAAAGACCGAAACGAGTCGTGGGGTGCAGTGGTTTCGGGTGGACAATACAAATATCGACCTGTTTCACTATTTGATTGCGACTGTGCGCAAGAAAATGGCTTAACGATGTAGGGGCAACTTAATTGGTCCCGCATATACCATGCGCGTCACACCTTCAAAGGGAAAACTGCTGTTGGAGGATGATCAGTTACTTGGTGAAACCCTGACTCTTTTACAGCGAAGAACATGAGGAAGTTGATCAATTCATTCACCTTAGCAGCTAAATCAGCAATGATGGGCGCAAAAGGACTGATGTCAGATAAAGAATTGCAAAAGTTAAAACTGAATCCGTCAGTCTGCGACCCATGTGCCGTCAAAAAGTGGTTTCCCTGGGTTTAAAAGACCACGTTTACAAAGCCACAGTGAGAGTCGTCCTAGTCTAGGTAAGTGAGACTTGGCCCATCAGATCTGAGGACCTGGGGCGCCTCAAGTCTTTGATCATCTTTGTCTGCGAAACATTGCTGGCATCGAGTGGCAACAGCGTTTCTGCAGCTGTTATGTGCGTATGCAAATACTAGGCAGTGATAATCAAACTTGTGCATTAGAACAACAGATAGCGTTAAATAAGTTGCGTTGGCTTGAGCACGTAGTACGCATACCCAGGAAAGCGCTTACAGAGGAGCACCTTGTTTTGTCTACCAGATGTAGGGTGGCGCAAAGATCGATGCGGAGAGAAGTTAACTTGGCAGCGGGTAATGAAGTTACTGACAACCAAACTCGGTGCAGTCAGTCCTTCTCGCCTTCCAGGCTGGAGTCCAAGTGACTTGTCTTATGATTGGCTCGTGATGATCCAGGACATGGCTTGCAGTCGACACCAATGGCGCGTCTGCTGCCGTCTCCTAGTCGGACTGCCTGTGTAAAGTGTGTTTGGTACTGTCATCTGCAAGGCAATGGCTGATTATGACAAGAGGCAGTGAAAGCCGCAAGGTAGCTGTGTCGCTGATACCGCCTTATCTCTGCACTATAGCCAACCAAGTGACGGTATGTCGTTAACAAGATGTAGGCGTCTTGACTTAGAATGTTGGTTTAACGAAGTAAAGTTTTACGGTAGGTCCCACTTTTCCCTCTCTTATTGTTGACGTTTCTTAGGCCGCCGTAAAGGTACGACAGTGAAGCATCAGTTCATATGGCCGATGTATTACTGGTGCTGCTGATGATCGTACATTTGATAAAATGATGGCTCATACTTGGCATGCATTGTTCGCGTGTATCCTCAAATGTCCAGATAACTGACTAATCATTTTGTTCTGTATCTAAAGTTACGCAACAGTTCGCGCGATCAACTAAGGTCCGTACGCTGAAGGGTAGTGCATTAGGTTACCTTGAATAAAGCCGCTACTAATAAGCTAGGAGAAACGCGCAAGCAACCGAACTACCAGAAATAAAGGAACCACTTATTTCGTGATTTTGTCATAATTGATACGGTGTTCAACCGCTGTTGCGACTAGAGTCAACCTGTAAGAAAAGTAACACCAAGTCCACACATCATCCAAGTGAATTTCTTCATGCTTCTTTGTCATGTCGTCAAATGAACACTTCGGGGTTTCACCCAACTACGCGTTACGAAATCGATACTCCCGTCATACAGGAAGCAATAGTTCGTAGGTGGCGGTGATCGAACACGGCCGGTCACTGATCCACACGGTAATAATGGTCTAACACAACGCTGTAAACCCTCAGCTTAAGGAATAGGCATATATTTCGGAAAGCCACCTCAACCTTAGCAAAGAATGAAGTAACCTATTCGGTGATGTGGCCATTACATGCAATGAAGCGATAGTTGTCCGGAGAGAAAGAGAACTGAAGAAGATTCGGCCCAATCACATGATGTTACTTTGCAATCTGAAGGTGAAAAGCACGTGTCGAAGAGTGCATAACCGTACCACAGCATGTTCTATGACTCTTGTACAATAGCGAGAAGTGACGGTACCTAATGGCTTGAGTGGACGAGACCGATGCGGTACCCGCGAACAGAAACCGTATCAAATCCCGTTCACATAAGACGACTACTAGTACAACGGCAAGACAGTCAAAAATTGGCGCAACCTAGCATCGACGAAGCTCAACCTGGCCCCAGAAGACCGACGTGGCCTGAGCCAAGGGTAGCGAACAAACTACGGGTGTGGGACAACCACTTCAAGCGCACGGAGTCGGACGGATCAAGAAAACTAGCCACCAAAAAGCATTTGTGATGAAATACTGCTTCAAATATACGAATGGTATCAATGGTTCTGCTGTCCGTTAATGACAGATCCTCGAGCACTACTCATACTTCCTTTGGCCTCTCGGGAGGCCACACAACTCTGGGTTTGGTGGAAAGAGAGTTACTATCGTCCGTGATACTTCAGCTTGACAGTTGATCACCCAGAATAAATTCCACAGCCAGGAAATGTGGTTATTTCGAGCGCGAAGTAAAGAACAAAGAAAAATAAAAGAGCCCCGAAGCATTCTATTAGTTGTAGTGAGCTTAATGGATCATTGTGTGGAGGTATCAGAATATAAATATGGCGGCGCAGTAGCTGAGGTGTTTCCCACATCTATCTAACGTGTATAGTGTGTGTGTGTGTGTGTGTGTGTGTGTGTGGTATCAGAATGGAAATAATTTCACGGACACACTATCCTTGGTTGTGCACTCGTATATATGCCGAATGCAGCGCGGACCTAGATGCAAAGCATATTAGCGGGACATACCGATTGAAAATATGATAAGTAAATAACTGGTAGTATAACATGAGTGACCGAAAAGTGTCTGCTGGAGCGCCCTGTGTAGTCGTTTTTATGCCTCCGGCTGTTCCAGTGAGGTACGTTTGGGACGGCCTTTGGTCACTTGGCATACACATAAAGGCTTTTTCCCGATTCCAGATACCGTCAACAATAAGTGGGAATCAATTCCCTAATTGTAATTAGATACTAATAAAGCTGTAATGCTGCAGAGAAAACATTTTTGAATGATTAATATTCGTCCCAAGTGTTTCTCACTGGGACGGTCGGCAATATAAAAAACGGTCACTCAGCGACAATCTATCGATCATCCGCGTTGACTGAAAGTGCCGTTTAGTGAAAAAGCATTGATAAAGATTGACGGTGTAATGATGCGTAACATGTAACGACACATTTGAATATATTAGGCCAATATTTTCATCCTCCAATGGTGACCGAAACCAAGCCCAAATGGGACGCCTGTAGTGAACCCGGAAACATACACTCTGTAATTCACATCGCTGGACCTTGTTATTGTTTGTACCTTCCTACTGTTCACTTGTTTTACTACCGCTATAGCTTTCGCTACGGTAAGTAACGCTTTACACGTTCCTCGCCCTTGCTGGTTTGCTCCACATTCGTGATAGTCTGACCCATGAACGCCGGGTCCAGCTGTCTCTATCTTTTCGATCGTTCAGTATTTGGCACATCTTTCATGTGTCATTGCAACCAAACAGTATCTGGTGACAGCAACTCGGAGCATGTCATCCATAATTTTTTAATTTTATCTTGGTGAGCGCGTTCCAGTCAATCTGTGAGGCATTACCTGCTGTCATTTCGTTTTCTCACCTATCGCATATTTTTACCCACTTTTGCAATGACCTTTCCAGAAAATAAGACCCCTCTTTATATTGTTAACGCCGTAGTTGCCCTCTGCATCCTCCTTTTGGAAGAACGAAGTAACACTTACAACCGCAGAATTTCTACTGACTGCGCTATGTGTAAGCAGCTAACATCCCGGCTTTCGCCTGGACAAGTGAGATACCTATCTTAACACCCACTTGCAACGAAATAAGAGATTCTTAAACAGGTTATTATCTAGGGAATCACGCCTTCTGACAAGGTCCGCTTGCAGCAAGTAGTTAAAATCCTGCAACCATGAGAAAAGATGCCTCTATCATCGTTGTGAGAATTGCAACAGCTCCTTGGCAGGTCCAATATGGACGCAGACTTTCCGCGAAAAGTGAACGCAAGACATCCGCGAAAGAACTCATGCCAACCTTGCAGTAGCTAATCTGCCACCCGAAGCAATTGAAGATCTAGCAGACCGAGGCATCGAACAGCACTAGCTAGTGACTGAACTTAGAGCATTTAACCAGCTTCGCACCGGTACAACGTCGGTGACACGTGACTAGCGAGCCGTCGGCAATCGGCGCAAATAGCGTCGCTTCAGCACCAAATCGAGAAACCTATATTAGACCTCATTTACCACAGCCGCTCTAGATCATCGCCTCGTCGCCAGAAACTTAATGCTGCAAAGATTACTGCTCTTACCACTTACGTTACAGCAATAAAGTCCGAAAAGTCATGTAACTACACCGCTGCCGGCGACCTCATATGAGGGCCGGTAATAGAGACTAACGGTGTTGGTAAAACTCAAAGTTGTCTCATGTGCATTATGGATTATCATTATGGGACCCTGTTCCTATTCGACACCGGAGTGAAAGGCAGCGTCATCCTCCAATCCTAGGTGAGCTGGACACTACCTTTTGGGCATATTCAAGTGCCACCTACGGTAATCGGTCGCTTACACTGAACCTAAGTCTTCGACGAACGTTCCATTAACGATTAACCGTTGCCGCAGTCCCATTTGCCATAATCGGAAGGAAGCTCATCAGGCAGTTCGACCTTCAGGTTGATGCCAAAAGCCAGATGATTGTCGATTCTGCACGAAAATCAGTGCGTTTCGCATCAAAATCAAGATCGCATCTATCATCCCGGTCTACGCCTTTTCGCAGACCTCGCCAGACTACGCCGCTCTTTCTCTTGATATTCTAAGCTCGTTCAAACCAATACACGCGGCTCTTTCCGTGGCA